GGATTTCATTTTTACATCACATCAAACAAATTTTCTCTTCAGTTTTAAAGTTGAGTTAATGTTGTTACTAGCTATATTAGTTGGGTTGAAAAGTTTTTGATAGTATTTTCTCATGTCTGCAAAGCGTTGAATGTACTGAAAGGTAGAGTTATTGCAACATGTTAACATGAAGCACAACAATAAATTTTATTGGTATTTAAAAAGTTTTCATTTGACTATTCACTAGCAAGTCGCTGTATTATATTTCAGCTCAGCCATTTTCCACAATTTTTAAACACCATTACAAAATATTTAGTCAGGAAAAACATACACCATGTTTAAAATGTCATGTCCATAGTTAGTGGACAGGATTGAGGAGGGTGTATGTGGGAATTGGCTATCTTGTCTGTACTGTTAATTTTATTATCGCTCCTGTTGCAATTGTTTTGATGTTAAGGTAAAGGAACTGAGGATTTTAGTAGGCAGTGACTTTCTTCAAACCGGGAAACTATCATCGTGAAAGCCATACTTGTGTCTGGTAACTCATTCTTATTCTGATAAACTAGTTTTAAGAAGGATACGATATTTTATTACAAATAGTTAAAGCATAGGCTATGCACTAATATTTAAATTAACTATACTTATCCAGCCAATACCAATCCCTAGGCATGATGAGATGTCAGAAGGATCAGTGAAAAAATGTAACAATATTCCTAAAGAAATCTGAGAATATTCAAAAGAATGAAAAATTTGTTTAAAAATTAGAATTCAGCAAGGCCAAATAAACATGATTCTTATAAAAAGAGATGTGTACTAATGAAAAAAGCTCAGCAACCTTTTTGACCGGTTTTATATGTTTAAAACACACACACACACACACACACACACACACACACACAAGCAGATTTCTTATAAACCTGTAGTTCAAGCCTGTCATGACTTAAAAATTTTGATGCACACCTCAAAAGGAGAAGCTATAAATTTCAAGTTTCTATTTATTCAGTTTAGGTTTTTCAGGTAAAATTGAGTAAAATAAAGAAATGTGACAACTAATTTATTAGGTTAGCCTATCTAGAACAATCAACTTCATGTACAAATAAGACTAAACATGTACTGGTGATGCACAAAAGAACTATCTGTGGTAAGAGGGCAGGCTTTCCTCTCTTCATTAAAAAAAAATACTGAGGTTATCATCCTTCCACAAGCTCAGTGGAAAGTGAGAGCGAGAGAGTAACATTCTTTTTGTGGTTATTCTAAGAACTCTTTATGGCTTCTCGACTTTCACTTCTTAATACAGTTTACTATCCTTACATGAACCCTCGCTAACTCAAACCTCCCACTAACTCGAAGTAATTTCATTTCCCTTCAGGCCATTTTCTGTGTAATTTTACCCTCCATAACCCAAACTTCTAATAACTCAAACCTTTTTTTAATTTTCCTTTAAGGTTTGAGTTATCAGTGGTCGACTGTAATTCCAATTAAAAAAATTTACCTTGCCTGCACTTACAACAACGTAACCCAATTATGATGTTATCTGACAATATGCAAAGTGACCAGTTTTGGAGTGACAAGCAAATAAATTCCCCTAACAGTTTCAATACTCTGTCAAGGTGACATGTGATGAGAATTTAGAAAATTATCAACTAGGGATAGTACTTTTATGTAACACCAAATTCTCAGGGACAGCCAACAAAGGTTTGTATGGTCATAAGTTAGGAGAATTATACTTTAGATCTTACGAGTGAAAGGTTAAATATTGTTTTCTCAAAAGGAGAATTAAGATAGCCTTTGTTACTCACCACTTTCCTGATAGGATCTGACCGCAAAACCTTCAATTCTTTACCGTTAACGTAAACAACATCACCTTGGAATAGCTTCTTTAGGTTTGGAAACTGAAAGCAAGTAAATAAACAATCAAGATTATTTCACGCACGATAAAACTAAAACAAACTAAAGATGAAAACCGTGCCATGTGTACAGATCGATGATCGGCTGATCGTTTCTAAAAAAGTAATCTTTACAACTTCTTACCTTGTTGTTTGCAAAACGGCGTGGAATAAGCGTTTCTTCTGGCGTTACTTTCCTGATCTCGGACGGGGCAATGATCTCCCGATCCCACTCGGCTCTCCACGGAGGAAAATTTTTAACAATTGCGTTGTCCGATTTGCTGACAACTTTCGCTTTTGTCCAAATTCCTAA